GTAATTTACATTTTAAAAATGCAGCCAGTTCATTAGAAATGTAATCAGAATTGCCAATGATATAATATGTTCATTAGAATTTAGTACAGTGGAGAAGGTTCCAAATTTCCAGAATTATTTAAGCATAAAAAAAAAAAATACTTGAAGGACGCAATTGCAGAAAAGTCCTAGATTCAAGTTCTGTTCAAAATCACCATTGCTGTTGTGTTTTGTGCCAGCCACAAAATACCTCCAAATGCATGTTTTTGTCTCCCACTTCCTTTTTCTTTTGCTTAATCTTCCTTTAAGAACAGTTCTGGACTTCAACATTTGTTTTCTAATATGCTAGCTATGGAATAAAGTTCAAAGCCACATTTATGTGGCACTTACCCAGAATATCTGCCCCATGGCGTCTCCTCCTTGAAAGTCTCCCTATGCCACTTATTTCTCCTTGGGCATTCAAAATAAACTTGATGGCAAAAGCCAGTCCACACACTCACTGCAAAACAACAGCTTTAAACACAACACTTCCTTTTCCCTTGGGCAACATCTGCTGTCTTACTCTCCTCCCATGGTTGATTCATTCACTTCGCACAAGTCATTTTTCGCACTAATTTTGTGGCTGGACCCCATGATGAGTTTGGACACTCGCATTAGTGTAAGTATGGCATCTTAGCCACCTTTAGCTTATGCAATACCCATCTAAGGGCAAGGAAGGAAATTAACAACAAAGAAACTGGCATGACATTTAGGTAAATGAAAACACGGCGTTTTATTGGTCTAAATCAGGGGTGTCAAACTCAATTTCATTGAGGGCCGCATCAGCATTGCGGTTGCCCTGGGGGGAGGCTACTGGGTGGGCGTGGATGGAGTAGGTGTGGCCTACTGGGTGGCCATGGCCAGCTCTACATCATTCGCGTCAAGGGTGCCTGTGGGGGCCTGGGCAGGAGTGGGACAGATCTGAGGGTCTCTGGCAAAAGGGGGTAGGACCCGGGTAAGCGCCAAGGCATGGTCCATTTCTTCATTCCTCACAAAGGGTGACATCTCCCCAGCATGCACCCAGGGGGCGGGGCCGACACGGCAGGAGCTGGTTCCTCGCTGTTTCTAGACGGCCTTGTGGAGCTAAGACTGAATGCATTTCAGCATAGATGGCGACCACAAAATTGTACATTGGCTCCCAGCCGGCCTGGGCCAGGGCCAAGGCAGCGGGGGCCGTTCCCTCACTGTTTCCAGGATGGCTTCACGGGCCACATGAAACCACTTCGTGGGCCGCATCCGGCCCCCGGGCCTTGTGTTTGACATGTCTGGTCTAAATCCACACTCCCCAGATCAAATTTCAAGAGCAAAACAATTGCCAAGGGGTCCCTTTTCACTAAAGAAACTGAAGCAACCACATTTCCAGCTCTAGCCAAGAAAATCACAAAGATTGGAAAGCCAAAGACTTATGGTAACAGGCCCACCCACCCACCCATTCCCCAAACAGAATTAAAAAAAAACAACCCCCAAAACAAATATAACTAGCCTCAACTTTGCCTAAAAAGCCATCTTTAAAGAAACACAAAGATAAGGAAATGGGTGAATGAGGGGGGCAGAGGGGATGTGGAGAATGCTGGCCAGCTTTCCAATGACTGATCCTGAAAGCATATTCAAATGTAAAGGAACTTCTGTGAGAATGTCTTTAGGGTTCAAATGCTTTGCATCTCACACGCTTTTTTCTACTCCTAAATAATGGGTGCCAGTGAACAAAAAAAGGACAAAAGGACTCATCTGTTAAGATATATCCTTGGATAATTTATTCAGAATTTATTTATTTTAATATAAACAGTTAATTGTTTAATATTTTACACACAGCAAATTTTCACTTTTATATTCAAAGATACTCTCTGTACATATCACTGCTCGGCTCTTATATGAAAGCACTGAAAAAATAAATCAAGTGAGTATATTCTCTATTTATTTTTTTTTCAAAACCATGGCACATGTTGATCCTTTATTTTAAAACAAGAGGCTTTTTATATATATAAAAACCCAACAATCAAAAACGGTGTTCTGTGATCATATACACACATAAAACTGGGAAGAAGTTGACTGGCTTCTAAGGCAACATTTTTTTTTGCTATGCCTACAAGAAGAGCAAAAATCCTCTCAGGAGGGTCAAATCTGCCCCTCCTCTCCTCCCCCAAAGGCGCAAAGCACCGGCACATTCATGTGCTCAACCACAGGGATGCTAGTTCAAACTTCTCCATGTCAGGATATCCAGTTGGACGATATAAAATTTCCTAGAAATGCTTGTTTTAGGATTTTAAGACAACTCATCAGTTTTTAATTTCCCATTTCCTCCCCCCCCCACCACAATCAATAAAGCAATTATGTAGTGAGATGATCACTTTCAAATGACCGGTGAACAATGTTTTGCTTCCCAAAAAAAAAAAAAAAAAAAATCTAGAAGCACTTCAGGATGAAATAGGGAAATGAAAAAGAGAAAATCCCTGGAGACCATCCTCGTTCTTCCATGCCAACTAATTGGGGAAAACAGATGGGACTAAAACAAGAAGAGCTACACACCATCTCTGCTAGCCCGCAAGGCTTAAGTTGCAAAACACTGACAAGTTCAAGAGTTTAAGGTTTTTAACACAGATTGAAACCCAAACTCCTAAAATTTGCTTCTTTTTTTTTTTTTTAAATAATGATAACACGATCCTTTTGGTGGGTTTTTTTTTCATAAAAATTCACATTATAAGGAAAAAATTAAAAGCTTATGTAAAACGCAGGAAAACTAAGAGAAAGAAAGCTTCTGGTGAGGTCCTTTTTCAGCAGATGAACAGACAGATTCATCTTGCACTGAAGAGCACTTGAAATGTGAAGTTGGAACTTCAGAGATATGAATGACTAAGACGGAACCCAGACTTGTTTTATGGGTCAGACAGAGGGAAAGGCTTGGGCAGGCAACAAAAAGGCTAAAGTGCACTGGAGGGTGGAGAGACATTATCTGAAAACTAAATTCAGAAGCTTCTGAACTTCAAAACCTAGAGAGAAAGTACTTACAAACACATAATTTATGCCGATGGGGACAGAGATACACAATCTACACTGATGGAGAAACAAACAAAGATAGCATTGGCACACATGTAGAAAGATTACACCCTTTCTAACAGGTAAAACTTTAAAAGATATGCCATCCTTCTCTGCTTCCCCTTTTTAAAATTCACCTTCTAGCAGTCTTTGGCTCTACAGGATTTTAAAAGTGGGCAAGGTAAGTTCTTACCGGACTACAGTATAGACCCTCCAAGCCCCCTATCCTCCAGAAGTAATTGTAGAGTATCGGTTGCTTTGGGACTAGCAAGGCTGCCTTTCCTTGGAGGTTACCAACTCGGGCACTGGTTGACACTGATAGAAAAAGATGCTGGAACAGATAAAGCTCGGAAAATCCTACTCTCTTCCACACAGTTCTTCCACAGAAACTTGACTGCAAATCTGAGGAAGGTGCCTGCATTGCTTCTGTTCAGTTTATGCAAAGGTGTGCAAGTGAATTGGGGGTGGACAGGGTACCCCTGGATATTTACTCTCTGGCACTGTGCTTACTAAGCAGAAATGGTAGGAGAAAGCCAAGGGAAAAAACACAACCATTGACTCAAAGACTGTGTGTGGAGATTCCAGAACTCTACACAATCACTTTGCTCCATCTAAGCAGAAGGAGCGGTTTTGATTTATTTTTTTCCCCTCCCTTAGCTAGGACGTTTTCTAGTTGACAGATTAAGTAGCTCTTCTCTGGTCCAGGTACATACTGACACGACCCCCACAAATTGGGAAGGGGAAGAGTAACAGAGACCAGTAAAATGTAGGCAGGCTTCATGTAACTTTCAGAGCTGAGAGACCTCTGTCAGAGCTGCTAAGGCTTGATTTCACCATTGGTGAGCAACTGTTTCAGAATTTGCATCACGGTGGGTTGTGAAATATTTTGAAAAATTAATATGCACATGCCACTCTATTATTTGAACATTAAAGTACAGGTTTGTGCACTATTATCTCCTAGCGCTTAACTTGCCAGAATCAGCTTACGCACTTAAGGCCCCTTAAAGACCAAACAAGCAAGCTCCTCCTCCTCTTTTCCCCTCCACAGGGCAAAAGCTAAACAAACAAACAAACATAGAAAATCAAGGAAGGTGTCAATAATTTATATGGTGGTTCACTATCTATGATTTAAATATGTCACAACAAACATATACACTTAATGCTATAACCAGACAGAGCTCCAGAGTCATGAGGCAGGTCGGTAAGACGAAGGGGAGAGAATTTGGCTTTGTTGTGCCTTGTTTAGTCTTGTAATGTCTCACAAAACCCTAAACAGAATATTGGCTACCACTTTGGCTACCTCGTTTCGCTGAATGGCAGAGGAGATGCAATCCCCCCAAAAAAGAGTTTCTTCAGTATAAAAATAATGTATTCAAAATTCATTCGTGTCAGAGGAATTTTGGGCCAGGAGGAAGGACAGGGACACCCTCTCACCTCTGTGGTTAGATAAAACTATTATGTACAAAAGGACTTATCCATTTTCACCTGTACCTCCATACACGCGCACATACACATTCAGGGCACACATACTAGTTAATCCATTAAGAAGAAAAGCAGCAGCTGTTGGTCAAATCAAAGGAAAAAGACAAGACCACATTCCACACATCCTGAAGATCCTTCAGTCTTTTTTTAAAAAAATGCTAAAATCACAAAAGAGGTTCTCCAGAGAGGCTGGCAGAAGAGAAGAGCTTCAGGTTCAGCTTGGGAACGATCCAGTCCAAGGCTCCCTTCCCTGCAGTAGTAGAGAGAACCCGCAGTTCCTCTGCTCAGTACGAGGGGTAGGCAGAAGTTCTCTTTTCCAACGTCGTGTGAAATCACTTCCTACCTCAAAATCAGAGTTGCACGAGAGGAGATCAGCAGCCACAGAATTGTCCATTTGTTTCACAGATAAAAGTCCGCTGACAGCAAGTGAATTGTTGCACCAAAAAAAAGAAGAAGAAGAACAGAAACACACAAGAAACCTTCCCCTACCCCAAATGGCCGTTCTATTTTGATGGTTAAAAATCTGAATAGAAAGTAAGTCGGTGTGTCTCAAATGCTGTGCCAGCAATACTGCAAGTCCTGAGATTTGTATCGTGAGGAAAAGCCAAGGGGACTATTAGGATGGGCTTGAGTGAGGCATGGAGAGGATGCGGCCATTCTTCTTGCCCCCATTCATGTGAGTGTAAGGGATGTGCTCCTCATAGTTCCCTTTGAACCCTAGAGAGGGCCCATTGTCCCGCCCTAGGATCTCATCCCGCTGAGAGTAAGAGGCTGGGTCAAGAGGGATGCTCTCCATGTTTTCAAAGTCCAGCTCATACTCTTCTGTCTCCGGTGGCTTATTCTCCTCGCTGTAGAAAAAGGAGACTTCTCGGAAAGTCAGGTGAAGATCATCCTTCAGCATTTCAATGATCTCGATGAAGGCGGGGCGCATCTTGGGATTGTACTGCCAACACATCTGCATGAGGTTGTGGCTGGAGTGGCAAACAAACTAGGTTAGGTTTTGCCCAGCCTGCTAGCAAATCATTGCAGGATCTTGCTTCCAGCCCCAATTAAAACATAAAAAGACTTCCTCACTGGAGTGGAGGTCTCTTTCTCTCTCTATTGAATAGTCGTGTTGCAGAGGAGGAATCTGCACATAACCCTTTCCCACTTGGTCTATTCAGATCACTAAGAAACCTGACGTAAGCTCTTTCCCACATTGGAATGGAAAAATAACCTAAAAGTGTATTTCTTCTTCCATCCCTTTTACAGCTGGAGAAACTAGGGAGGGTTTCTTCTGAGCCCCTTTCCCTGTTCACATTCCTCCTGTGGGCTAAGGTTACCTTTTATCTCTTTTGTTGAGTCTTATCTCCCAAGATCCTTCCTACATACTGTTACGCAGTCTGCATTAGACTCGTATTTCCTTAAGACAAGTGGAATACAGTGGTGCACTGTCTTCCACCTATTTTAAGGAAGTACAGATCTGATGCGTAGCTTCTTAGCCTGTATACTGTTGCAAAAGCAGACTTTGACTCCTGATACTTACAGTCTCTCTGCACAGTTTTCTGGCCATTCGAGGCAGCCCCCATCCATGACAAACTTGAGGACCTGCTCATTGGAGAGTCCTTGGTAAGGCTGCTCTGCTAAACTGCTGATCTCCCAAAGGACAACGCCAAAAGACCTGCAGGAAAGAGGAAGGAAGGAAGGAAGGCGGGATATTGAAGAGGTTCTTCATGCCACCCCACAGAACAGTTGAGAGGAGGGCAAGTAAAGCAGTGGAACCAAACAAGAAGAATGTAGTCCTTTTGTGTCCTCTTGATCAGAGGCTGGTATCAATGCTTCTCTTCTTTTTTCTACTCTAGTTAAAGTCAAGCATCTAGTTCAGGGGTAGGCAACCTTGGCTCTTTTATGACTCGTGGACTTCAACTCCCAGAATTCCTGAGCCAGCATAGCTGGCTCAGGAATTCTGGGAGTTGAAGTCCACGAGTCATAAAAGAGCCAAGGTTGCCTACCCCTGTTCTAGTTCAAAGAGAGAGGATAACAACAGGATTAGGACTGGCTGACTGACTTTAAACAACCGGTATCTACTTACCACACATCTGAATAGGCCGTGAAGACACCATCCTTCAATGATTCTGGAGCCATCCAGCGCACAGGCAGCAGACCCTTTCCTCCTTTGCGGTAATAGTCTGTCTCATAGATATCTCTGGTCATGCCGAAGTCTGACGAAGAAAGAATGTTGCAATAAAATATGAATTTGGGAAACAGCTACAGCTTCAAGCAAGAACACGGGAAAGAGGCGGAATTCCCACCGAGAATGTTATCAGAGCCATTAGCTGCCAGTTGCCCTGGAACTGTTATTCACTGATTCAGTGATCCTGCCGGATCCGATTAAAAGTCACACAAAAAACGTTCTGTTGTTTCCATAAGGACCCAAGCAGTCTAGAAGGGGACCATACCTCCGATTTTGACTGTGAAATCTTCAGCCACCATACAGTTTCGTGCTGCCAAATCTCTATGGACAAATTTCTTGGCGTTCAGATAAGCCATGCCGTCAGCAATCTCAGCAGCCATCTGAATCATCTCTTGGAGAGTTGGAGGGGGGCGGCCAGGGTTATTCTGAAAGCCGAGCCGAAACTGTTGTTATCCATTCGGATTGCAACCCAATCACCTTTTCATCTTTCCCATCCCCTCATTTCTGTACACAAACACAAGTCACCCCAGATTCTTACCTCTGCATCCGGCCGTAAAGACCTCAAATAGCTTTTCAGGTCTCCGTGAGCCATTAGCTCCATAACTACTAGTGTTGGTTGCCCTTTTGATACTACTCCTAGGAGACGAACCTAATGAAAGAAGTTAAAAAAAAAAAAGGCCAATTTTAAGACATACTTAGCGAGTTGCTCCCTCAACGCAAAGTATATGCTTTATTCTACAACTGCAGCAGTTTCAAAGAAACGTCTTATTCTAACCAAAACATCCTTTCATCAGCTATGTCAGGGGTAGGCAACCTTGGCTCTTTTATGACTCGTGGACTTCAACTCCCAGAATTCCTGAGCCAGTATGGCTCAGCTTGGAAACCTCTCTCTTTCCCCTCAGCATGGCTGGCTGAGGAATTCTGGGAGTTGAAGTCCACGAGTCATAAAACAGCCAAGGTTGCCTACCCCTGATCTATGTCCTCATAGCTCATACTGAAAAAAAATGCCCCCCAAATTGAGAAGTTATGATAAAGACACAAAGACTTCTTCTCAAGGCAGGCTGAAGAGGGCAGGCCTCCCTTCCCCCCCCCCCCCCCCGCCATAAATATGTGCCAGCAAGCAGCAGCAGCCTTCCCCCTCTTACCACATGGTGGCAGCTGAAACCTTTCATCACAGAAGCCTCGTTGAGGAACTCAATACGCTCACGCAGGCTGGCAGTTTCATTTACTGTCTTGACTGCTACTCGTATCTCTGCCTCGCCTTTCACAATGTCTTTGGCGATTCCCTCGTAGACCATGCCAAAGGAGCCTTGTCCCAACTCCTGCAGCAGGGCAATTTTCTCCCGTGGGACCTCCCATTCATCAGGGATGTAAACTGAAGTTTATGGGGAGAGGGAGAGATGTGGAGAAAGAATCAATGCACAAACCGGCTGATCTCAAACGCAGATAAGAAGGTAGATCGAATCCCACCATGGAAGCTAGGCCCAAACCTCTTCCAAACTAAAACAAGTTTTCCCTTTAAGGCAGGAGATTCCCATGTTAATTTACAATTATTTTTTCTCACGTTGCTGTATCCTGCAGGAGGCTGAACAATGGGAAACAGAACTGTGATCATCCGGTAAAAGTGTCTTCAGTACAACTAAAATCTCCAGACAGGTGGGATTAGAACTTGCAATCTCCTGGTTTCTGGTCACTTTATTAGTACAAAGAAAAAGTAAAGGGAATGTTGTGTTCCCTTTACACACCAGCCTCAGAAGACTTCCTAGCCAAATTTCCTTCTGCTTCCTAGCCAAATTTCCTTCTGCGGGGAGTTTATAAGCCCTTAAAACAGTGGTTCTCAACCTTCCTAATGCCGCGACCCTTTAATACAGTTCCTCATGTTGTGGTGACCCCCAACCCTAAGGGCTCTCCAAGCGCGCACTGACGCCGCCCACTCACCCGCCGTGCCCGGGGCTCAGCGCGCCTTGCCTGTCCTCGCCTCACTTCCAAAGGTCGCCGGCCTGCCCGGCTCCAGCTGGCTGGGGAGGGGGGGGCAGGAAGGCTGCTCCGCCCAGCCTGGTTGGAGAAGCGCCCAAGCGGGGAGAGGGAGAGCGAGAGAGAGCGAGAGCCAAGAGGGCGACAGCACCGGCAGAGCTTAGTTCAGCCTCCTCCACGGAAAGGGCCGCAAAGCAGCGCAGCCTCCCTTAGGAGATGCTCGACGGAAACGAATCCGGTGCTGCAACGGCCCCCAGCTCGAAGCCGTGCGGAGACGGATAGAGGAGCGGTGTCTCGGTTCCTAAGACCATCGGAAATATGTGTTTTCCGATGGTCTTAGGCGACCCCTGTGAAAGGGTCGTTCGACCCCCAAAGGGGTCACAACCCACAGGTTGAGAACCGCTGCCTTAAAACATGAATATATCTCAGGAAATCCATCCCTTTCTCCTTTCACTATGAATACTTCCAATGTTACTCATTCTACTCTTGTTCGTGGCTTCCTTCTCTGACCTTTTAATCATTTTTTCACAAGGCAGAATCAGAATCGGAAAGGACTTGTAGGCTATCAAGTCCTTTCCAACCAATCAAGTCCTTCCCTTCATGGGAGCTTTTACCAAGCCAACTATCCCCCATCTTACACCTGAGCATTGGATTTCTGCTTTCTAGGTACAATAAAGAATTCTGCATTTGTCCCTCTTAATTTTCCCTGTTATTTTCGGCTCAATTCTTCAACCTATCTAGGATTTTGAATTTTGCTCCTGCCTTTTACTGAAAAACATATCACAACAGTTTTATTCCATTTGCAAATTTTGATGAGAAATTTTCAGCCCTTCATCCAAACCATTAATGAAATGTCGGAAACTACCAGCCTTAGGACCAAATCTGGGGGACTCCACGTGACACCTCATTTCCTATTCTTTAAAGTAAATAGTGAAGAAGAACAAATGCTGTCGCAAATTATCTTAGGCTCCCACTTAGGGGGAAAAACAACTTTTAAAAAATGTTGAAACATTTGGTCACAATCTCGGGGGGGGGGGGGAATCAAAGTCAACAATGGAAACCAAGGTGCTTCTCACCATCACTGGCACTGAGATACTCTGGATTAGAAGATGCATAAAGTGGTCCCGTTGGTCCTTCTGTTTGCCTGAAAAGAAGAAGGAAGTAAGACCAAGCACCACTTGTCATGAAACTTTTGCTACTGGCAAAGCTGCTGTTCAAAGTGATATAGGGATTACAAAAAAAACCCAACCCCACAATAATTATATTTAAAACAGAAGGCTGCCATGCCAGTCATAGGAAAAGTTCCAAAATGAGGGTGAAGATTTGTTCTCTGAACTTGTGGGTTGGTTTCCAAATGTTTTGTTACCGGGCTTGGTAACATCTTCAGCGGAGTTTAGGGGATGTCAGTGTCGGTGTTCTTCTGTTTATAAGGGCTTCAAACACACACACACACACACAAAAAGCCCTTATAAACAGAAGAACAGCAACACCGACATCCCTTAAACTCGGCTGAAGATGTTACCTAGCCCAGCAACGAAACATTCGGAGAATGAACCTTCACCCTCATCTTACACCTGAGCGACAGATATTTGCCACTATTGCAAATTGCAAAATTCATAGACTGATAATTTTAAAAATCCAAATGGAATTTAATAGTTTGGAATCATAGATCCAACACTGGAAGGGAGGTAAGAGTTTTCTACATACTAGTAAAGAGGAACGTATGACCATATGTTTAAAAAACAAGAAACATACCAACAAAATTATTACTGATGAGAGAGAAGAAGCTATTCACACATGCATGCTTTTCTGTCGGCAGCAACGGAGTACAAATTAAATTTAACTTTGGCTGTTACGTGTCGTCAATTGATTGTATTTCAATGCATTGTGTTAAAGGGCAATATTTTGAAAAGAAAGCTGAGACACACTTACCTTTTTTTGATAAAGACATAACCTCCTCCAACAAACATGAATAAAAAGACAATAAAAATGGTTGGAACGATGATGGCTACAAGATTGGTGGGAGCATTCACTAGAGTGAAAAAAGAAAGAAAGTATACAGTAAATGTAAGACAGGATTTTGGACTTTCCTCCCAGTCCGTGTTTCATAACATCCAGAACAACTATTTCTGAAGATTAGCCTGATGTCAGAGCTAATCGTTCCTCTCACAGGATAGGAGATGAGAACGCACAACACACTGGATACCTCGCCCACCCAACAAACAATTAGAAACTCAGAGTGCCAAGAAATATTTATCTTACAATAATCAGAAATGTAAAAGTAGACGGGCTCTGTCCATGACCCATTTCCAGCCAATGAAGTAGCTCGGATGCGCACACTATAGTTGCCAGGTTGCAGCCTTCGCAGCTTGCAGCCCTGTTCAGTGGAAAACTCTCGACGAGATACACAAGAGCGTTGTTCCTAAAGGGTAGATGAGAGATCATTGGATGTTCTGTTGCCCAAAAGAGGTGCCACATGACCTAAGGAAGAGCTACATGTGTGAAATGTGTTCTGTGCACCCAAACAAAAACAAAAAAAACCTGTGGGCAGTTGTGTAATCCAGGATGAATAAGTATTGATGCGCAATACAACTCATCTCACAACAGATTTCTAATTTCTCAGGTCTGGAGTCAGGTACAGTTAGAGCTAAGAGATGAGCGTGCATGCTCTTTCTCTCTTATACACAGAGAAAAAGAGTCATTTTACTAGGAAAAGACTATTAGAATCCAATCCCCCTTATTCCTAAAATGTTATACAAAAAAGCCTGGGGAAAAAGCAGACAGCACCCAAGGAAAGAAGTGTAAAGGGCTGAAAGTTCACCTCTGACTCTCCAAGGCGTCCATAATTTACTTCATAGAGGATGATCAACCCATTTGGATGCTTCGGCTCCTGCCACTTTAAGTGGACTACATTTTTCTCTGTTAACACATGAGTCACAGGCCCAACAATGTCATCTGCTTTCACTAATAGATAAAAGAACAGAAGGGAAAAAAAGCCAATCAGTGCAAATTAGCAAGTCTGCTTCATGCTTTGTCTTGTAAACATGCTAATTAGATAGGACCCAGTTGGGAAATGCTTTTCTCACCTTCTGGCATGGTCCTGGCACTGATGTAGGCTGCAACGCTGCATACGGTTAGAGCTTCACGATTACAGGCTTGGATCTCAATCCGGTACCCTGTGAAGTGTTGCAAGTTGGATATGACTACCGACTCCTTGAAAACCGTCATCTGAAAAGGCTTCGGTTCCTCTGGGGTCTCTGGTGTTGTCGTAGACATGTTTAGCAAGCCCAGCGTGGTTGGAGCCAGCATGGTGCTATTAGCAACTCTCCCAAGATCTCGCCGCCTCCTTGATCCTTCCGCTGGCCTATAGAATGTATCACATTTGAAAAGGTAATGGAAAAAGTAGTTCAATGATACACGGCAGGATCTTTGTTCAGAATATCCCAGGGTTAAATCTTAGTATCTCCAGCTAAAAGGGTAACTTAGCTGAGAAAGGCATTTCTCTGTTTCTTTAGAGAGCCACTACTAACAGGAAGAGACAGCAGATAATGATCTAGACCAGGGGTCCCCAACCCCCGGTCCGTGGACCTTCACCGGGCCACGGCATGTCAGAAACTGGTCCGTGCAAACAAGCGAAGCCCCATTGGTGAAATGCAGGCAGCACACAAAACCACGCCCCCTCCAGCCCACAGAAAAACCTTTCTCCATGGAACCGGTCCCTGGTGCCCAAAAGGTTGGGGCCACTAATCTAGACGATGGGTGGTAGAAGACAGCTAAGTGATATAAGCAGGCCCAGTGCCTAAATGCACATTCTACTAAAGTAATACACTTGCATCTTGGAATCACAAGATTGGAAAGCCTCTTTTTTTACCAGGGCTGTTGAGTTTTGTCTTCACAGAAATAAGTTTCACATTAATTCTGTGTATTCTTGGAGCAATGATGGAGACAGATAGATGGAAAGATGACTTTGGGCAACTTCTCCAGCTATTATTCTTTGTACAAAATTGCATTCAATTCTCTATAGAGCCATGGTGACGCAGTGGTTAGAATGCAGTGTTGCAGGCTAACTCATTGTTCACTGTCAGGAGTTCGATCCTGAAGGGCTCAAGGTTGACTCAGCCTTCCATCCTTTTGAAGTTGGTAAAATGAGGATCCAGATGGTTGGGGACAATATGCTGGTTCTGTAAGCCGCTTAGAGAGGCTGTAAAAGCACTATGAAGCGGTATAAGTGCTATTGCTAGTGCTACACATATGTGTATCTTGTGTGCTATTCCCTTTTGGGGTAAACAATATTATGCAAAGGGCAGAAAGAGTCAGAAATAGTAGTCATATAACCCAAAGGCATGAGATAGGAAAACATATACTGTCGCTAAATCTAGTTTCTGTTAACATTATTCAGTGTATCTTTCCATACTGTTCTATCTTGTAAATAATGCATGTTTCTACCATAGTCATACCTACACTACCTTGTATTCTTTACACTTCTCAATTCTGTATGTCAGAGGACCTTACCAACTCTGCCTAACTATATCCTTTTTCAGGTTTTATTTTCCTTTGCACCTTTTCACACTTCCTGTAAATATTTGTTTTGCGATTTAATGGTCATTCATGACCAAATCAGCTGAATGCTCTTCACTAATATTCACTTTTGTTCTCAGTCCACATTCATTCAGCACTCGTTCCTTCTTGACCTCTCTCCTCTTGTTTCAGCATGCATTCTCCTTAAAAGATTCCTATTACAGGTAGTCCTCGATTTACAATCACAACTGAGCAAAAAAATTCTGTTGCTAAACAAGACAGTAGTTAAGTGAGTTTTGCCTCATTTTGTGACTTTTCTTGCCACAGTTGTGCAACTGTTAAGATAGTAACAGAGTCATTAAGTCAACTTGGCTTCCCCATTCACTTTGCTTGTCAGAAAGTCGCAAAAGGTCATTGCGTGACCCCGGGACACTGCAACCCTCATAAATGTGAGTCAGTTGCTCAGCGTCTGAATTTTGATCGTGTGACTATGGGGATGCTACAATAGTCATATAGTGGGAAAAACAGTCATAGGTCACTTTTTCAGTGCTGGTGTAACTTTGAACAGTCACTAAATAAACTGTTTTAAGTCGAGGATTACCCGTATACTGAAGCCGTTTTGATGTTTTTCTGACACAGCTTTCACTTCCATATAACAAATAAGCGGAAAGCCATTTTTTGACAGGACCATTTTTGCTTCTTTCAACATTCATGTTTCACAATAGACCACACATTATGCATTATTTTTCTACCAGTATTTGCACATCTTCATAGCTTTTTTATCCAATTCCTCATATTTAGCAAGTAGTATCAAGGCATACAAAGTGATCTGCGTGCTCCAGTTATGGGCCTTTTATGCATAATGTGCAATTATTCAATGCATATTTCCTGTCAAACACCTTGATCTTTGATACATTATTTTTCAGATTCATACTCCTTGTTGCATTTTACAGCCTGTCTAATATTCACCATAAAGCTTTTGAGCTAAGCCAACTACAGAGCACATCACCTGCATACAAAGTACACTATCATCATCACATGCATTCCTTATATGCCGTCATTATTATATTGAAGAACCCTCATCTTATTCCCAGCTCAGTGTTGAACTGTGCATGAAGCCTTCTATTTGTTTCCATGCATGCTGGATTTCTAACATACACCACTCTTATCATTCAGCAAATTGCACAAAGTATTTCTTAATTCCACTGTATTTGTTATACACTTCTCTAAAGCAACAAACTGACGTTTTATTGTGTGTTAAACATTCATACATTCCTGAATGATCTACTAACAAGCAAAGATCTGTGTTGTACTCCTCCTAACTGGCATAAAGCCACACCACATTATTTTTCTTTCAAGTTGCAAGCTACTAAAAGCTGTGTATAATTATGGTGCGATATAAATGTGATATACTCAATAAATAAACAAGTAAATATTAATTAACCATGCTTGACAAGATTACACCAATTTTTAATCAGACTGACTACAATATATTCTTTCCCTTTCTATTAGTATTATAGAAACACAACATTTTTGTTTCTTTTATTTTTATTGTTAACCTATGCCAGTGGTGGCGAACCGATGGCATGGGTGCCTGAGGCGGCACTCGGAGCCCTCTCTGTGGGCACGCATGCCATCGCCCCAGTCCTAGGCCTTCAGCTGGGTTTTATAAAACCTTTTCGCTTTAGGCCTCCGCCGCCGTGTACAAAAAAAAAAGGTTCAATCAATCAGTCAATTTCAACTTCTCGTGGGAAAAAAAAAGATCTTGCAAAGTTGGAATTGATTGATTGAACTTTTTAGTCCCACCCAGTCTGCTGTTACCACCGAAGCCACACCTACCCAATGGGCCACACCCACCCGGCACCCAACGATGCATAAGTGGGTTTGGGGTTGCAGTTTGGGCACTCGGTCTCTAAAAGGTTCGCCATCACTGACCTATGCTTTTTGCCGTTTATTCTTACATTGCAATTTGCAATCTTCTATATGCCATGATCATCCCTAAAGGGATCCACAGCTACTGACTTCTAAGTTTCTTCATGACTTAGCTCAACCAAGATTTTTATATAATGGTTTTTAATAAGGTAGAGAAGATGTATATCAAGCTAACCAGCCTTAATGTACTCACGCCCCTGGTTAGTTTATGGCCAACATACTGTAAGCACAACCAAAAGCCTAGTTTTACCCCAAACGTGCTCATGCGATTCTAGATAAGGTTGGTGTCTAATCCAGAAACCACTGTCAGGCACAATCAAGCAGAACCACTTGTGAATAGCCTCAGGCTGTAATTTTGTTTTTTCTTCTATGTTACAAAAATCTTACCAGAATGCTTGCCTTCCCCTGGGAATAACCAGATAAGGCTTCATAGATTTTGGGGGAAGGTCATGCTTATGTGGTTTGTGGCTGTGCAACAATTATAAGCTAAGTCCTTTCTTGACCTCTTCCTCCAGTCTAGCTGGCAATTCCCCAACATCTACTTTGCAAATCAACACACTGTTGTTAATCTCTCTAATTCAGAGATGCAAGCAAGGTAATTCATCCAAACCCATGCCCTATTCATCAGATGCCTTAGATGAATATATAAACTCCCTGTATATTTATATTCAGGGTACTATGATGATAATTTATTTCCAATCTTTTTCCTAATGAGAAAAAACATCCCAAATTCCCTGTTCTGGCTTTTGGAGATAAATTAGAGGATTCCAATTTATTAAAACAGAGAATCTTCTTAGATCAAGGATCTCCCAAGACATACTTGTTGAATATACTTGAGTATATTTTCTTTTATCTACTGTATAGAATTCTATTAATATAGACCATGGGTATGTTATACGTATGATGATGTATTTATGGATCCTGTTATGTTCTTTCCTGACATACAAATGATGCAAAGAGATTGCTATAAATCTTCCATATCAAATGGCTGCTCTTTGTTGAAAACACTGACTCACTTAATATGGTTACCAGTCAACGTCTGCAATGCTGGACTACATAGTTCAAAGATCCGACTTGTGATATGACAGCTTTCTGTGCTGGGAGGTACAACTGTTCCCTGAGGATCTGGGAGAATTTTTCCCTAATAAAAGTGGTGAATGTTGCTCTTTCTTTTCCTCTTGTTAGTCCTTCTCCCCCAACCCCTTTATTTCTTCTCTCGCTTTTGAATGTATCCCTATCTTGGAGACTAAATCATGGAGGGATTCCTTTATGCTACTCTTCTAACCCATTTTCCTGTCTTGTGTCACATTCCAAGTGAACTGTTCATTAACTACTGGTAGTTTTCCATTCAACTGAGATGGCATTTTCTTGAATTTTGAACAACACTTTTCTGGCAAGTTCCTAGCATCTTGCATCAATGTCAATCCTTTTGAATCTGATGGCAGCATCTGATATACTTGACCATGTTGTTTAGGTTATACAGGGTTACAGTCTTTGGCATTATTGGTGGCGCACCTGATTGTTTTGCATCTTTTTTGTCTTGTTGTTTTGCAATATTGCACTAGAGATTTAAGTCTTAGGAATTTCCTCTTACAGGGAATGCCTTTCAGGAATCAATCTTGAGTTCTATTTTACTGTCTCTACTCATTCTTTGTGGGTCCTGATCCACAATCAAGGTTTCCAGTATCATTATTATGCTAATATTCAATTTATTGGTCTTTTGTAGAACTTGGTGACAATGCACATTCAACTGTAACAGACTATCTTACAGGCATTTCTCTCTTGGATGTCCATCTAGTACCTCAAGTAGAACACGGAAAAGGCTGAGATTGTCATGTTTCAATCTGATCATCCTTCTCTTTCTCTATTAAGTCTTCCCTCTTATTTGTCTCCTCTGCCCACTGTCTTCTGACTGCACTAATGTATTTATTCTACAGGCAGATTGCTAATGTTCACTTGTTGAATATTTATAGGATAGACGGGGCTCTTTTAGAGCAGTGTTATTGCTATGTCCTTAGTCGTCCCACTTAAAGAGTATTGTAACAGATTCCTTGGCAGTTGTTAACAATTTCTGTCTCTATTACTGGATCTTAGTCCAGAACAGAACCATTTAGGTTGCTCCTTTATTTATTTATATGTATTAAGGATTTTACATGAAGTAAAAAAGCAAATCTAAAGAAAAAGAAATGCAGGAAAAGAAAAAAGAGAAAGGAAAAAATAAAGTTATGAAATGTAATAACTTCCAACTTTCTCTTCTCTTCAATAAATATTAACAAACCTATAATCTCCCTTCTCTGTTCCAAAAATCCCTTCAACCCCTTATTTAATTATCATCTGTTTCTTTCTTCTTTTAGGAAGATGTCCACAAAAACTTTCCAGTCTATAAAAAAAAGTACTTGTTTTCTCCCTGATCAGATTTGCCATTTCCTCTAGTTCTGACATTTTTATGATCCATTCCTCCATTGTGGGAATTCCACCTTTGTGCACATAATAATCTTGCTGCTGTTATTATTTACAAAACTAAATCTTCCCTGAGTCTTTTCCAGTTCAGTATACTTAACTCCCAATAAAAAGGTGGTTTTTCTTTTGGCATATTAATCTTTAACATTCTTTGTATCATTGTATGTATTTGTATCCAAAGTTTCTTGGCTTTTTACCAGTGGTGAAGGGCAAAATATCCCTCTGTATTTTACGCATTTCCAACAGTGACTTAAACTATCTTTGTACATTTTTGATCATTTCTAAGGTGTCATGTACCCATGATACATCATTTATAAAAAAATTCTCTTAAATTATAATACCAGGGGCCATTCAGGTTGGTCTATGTCAGGGGTAGGCAACCTTGGCTCTTTTATGACTCGTGGACTTCAACTCCCAGAATTCCTGAGCCAGCTAGCCAAGGTTGCCTACCCCTGGTCTATGTCTATGTCAGGGGTCCCCAACCCCTGGTCTGTGGACTGGCCCCAGTCTGCGGCATGCCAAAAAACGGGCCGTGCAAACAACTGAACCCCATCCTTGGGGTGCGGGTAGTATGCGAAACCCTCTCCAGTCCACGGAAAAACCTCTCTCCACGAAACCGGTCCCTGGTGCCCAAAAGATGGGGGAGGGGGGTTTCTGGTCTATGTTTTGGCTCTTCATGGTCTACCTAACTGAGCCAGAGACCAGAGCTTTAAAATACAAACTTATGATCACTTCAGCAGGATCTTTTTTCAAGTTCTTGTTTCACAGTTGTAGTCTCCAGGTTTCAGACCTTGAAGAACTTGGCTCCCTTCTCCTTTTGCTTCTGTGGAAATTTGACAGCCTTTAAGATTATAAGCCCTTTATTTGATTAATAGGTTTATGAAGGGTCTCACTGTTTGAGTCTTTTTTAGTGAATACTTCCAGGTAAGCATCGGATTGCAGCTGTATATACATCCAGTCTATCTCAGAACTCTGTTTTAAATGCATTGTTCTGTTGAAAATATTTTTATTAGGCTCTGAGCAAACTTCATTGCATTGAGTTATAATAATTGTAATTACTGTGGGAGTTTTTGATGCTGTTTCTTGGTAAATGTGCAATAACACATATAACACAATAACAGCAACATCTTAACCTTTTCCAAAAAAGTAAGCAATCCAGATGTAAATGTGCCCTCTTTCTAAAAATATCCCACCAAAGCCTGACTAAATATTCTGTGATACAGTGAATTTAAAAACAATTGCTACCCTAAAGTAAGTTTCATTCTTGTTGTATTTAAAATCAGACCTAATCTGCATTGTCCTTTAAGGCAGAAAAATAAATGGGAAATGTCCTTGCTAGTTCGGTGGGTTTTGACACTGGCTGGTCCTCCTAAAAATTGTAGATTTGTTTCACAGCTTTTGTGAACGGGTTATCATTGGGCTTCATCTTCTCCTTTATGCCATTTAACAAGAGTTGTGGGGATCCTTAAATATTGTTGGGTGTGGTGATCTTCATATTGGCTAATAAGTCCAGGATTAATCTGGACATGTCAAATATACTTTCAGTTTGTAAGAGAACTAATTTAGGTCTGATGTTACAGTTCTGTGGACTGGCATTAACAGCGGCGGCGGCGGCAGGGAGGGGGAGAGAGGGGATGGTTTTGTATGTGCCCGCCACTTGCACAAATGGAGCTTCACATGCTCGTGTGTTTGTCCGCTGCTTCCATGGCCCAGTTCCAAACGGACCATGACACGGTACTGGGCCGTGGACCTCCTGCTCTAATATACTTCCATTTCCTACTTGACAGCAAAAAAGGAAGTCTGTCCTCACTAAAGCCAGAAGAAAGCCACACTCAGTCACTTACCTCTGAACAAAGACTTCATTGTGGAGGTAATTCTCAAAAGTCTTCCGGAAGGCAGATTCTTCCAACTCCTTTTGGATCTGAGAATCTGTTTTAGGGCAGGTACAACAAATTTCACCTTTTTTTTCATCCTCAGTCCCATTGTGCTTGATGTGGTCTTCTACTAGAGGGGGAGACCATGTCCAAGAGGGTAACTTCAAGCCTGCAGGACAGATGGACAGTAAAGATTTTATGTTTCACGATCCTAAAAGATTAATTGCTCAGTAAAGGAACTACAGCCTCACGGTCATCGTGTTTTTGAATAAGTAATGACAATTCATACTGGAAAGAAGCTGCAACTCAAACAAGGTACTCTTTAATTGAATATGTTTGGGGATTGAATGTAGTACTTGACTACAACTTGTTAAAACAGCTACTCCTTCGCCCAGGATCATGTAGGTGCCCTCAGAAGTTGTATAATCCCAGAAAAATATATGCTTGGTTTAAGGATTTGCAGATAGGTATTAGTTGTTTCTGCATGCTCCTTGACACTTTTCTTACTTCAAATCAAAAGGTTAGGCAGCCTGTTATATAGCCTATTGACCCTGTTGGTTAGGAGCTTATGAGAACATTGGCACAGCATGTGTAGAAGACACCAGTTATGTTGAAACATTTTTAGCTAATTGCTGTTAGCATAGGGTTGCTCAAATCACTCCCTTCCAGGTTAATCAAAGAAACTTAATTAGGGTTAAATCGACAGCGCTACACAGCCAAAAATAGGTATTGATCGTTGATTGCGTGTTTATAGCCATAATTGTATATGGAAAACCCCAGGTTTGAGATAGAAGGCTTTATGGAAACATAAGGACGATGTATATGTCTGAATACAATAATTTTTGGGGGAAACTTCAGATAATAGTTGGGTATTCACATGTACTAAGCCATAAAGTGGTTGGTTTGGTTTACTATATTAAATTAATGTTAGTTTATTAGATCTTTACCCTGTTGTAATCCAGAAACTCTTGGTGCTTACAGATACAATTAACCAAAAGTACAAGCATTACTAAACCCCACAAAAACAATATCCACAAACAATATCCATTGTAATCCAAATGCCTGTTGGTACAGCTCAGTTGTCAACATCTTTTGAAAGATGGCCAAGCGAAATCTGATCTCAAGCAAAAAAACCAACCTAAATGGCTGGTGCCACCCAAAAGTAATATTTTTTTCCTGAATATCACTTTCCTGTCTTATTGAAAGTGGGAAACAATCTGCTGATGCTCCTGGCATAATCATAGGATTGGGCAGAATTCTATAAGAAGACACAGTCTTGTAGGTAGTAGCCTAGTGCCAAGCCATAAAGATCTTTATAGGTTAACACCAGAACTTCAAATTGCATCTGAAGTTTCACCAGGAACTAATGCAGGGATACAATATAGGTGTCACAGTGTCCACGTGATAACTGCAGGTGAACATCTGGGCTGCTACATTCTTTATCAATTAAAACTACTAGCTGCTTTTTAAAGGCAATCCCATATGGGGTACAGAATTACAATGGACTAAATAAGCAAACCAACCTACTAGCTCTGAAAATATCAGAAATTTAAATTTGGAAACAGGGGGACACAGCTAGCCTGCCTTACCCTTCAGACAATAATCCAGTTCATAGAGTTCATTGTCTTCACTTTGTTGTTCCCAGGATACCATATAATGTGTAATATTCCCATTGGGATAAGAAGGTGGTTTCCACTTCAGAATGATCTGTGATGAAGAGTTGGAAACAGAAATTGGATCCTGGGGGACACTTGGCACTGGGGAGAAGAAGAAATATATATATATATATATAAAACCATCAAAAAATAGGAACAAAGGTGAACAAAAACCTTATCAAGTCACACAATGAGGGTCTCAATAGAAGAGAATATTTGTAGCTCATAATTCAGCTGCGGGCCCTTGGGTACTCTCCGAGCTTGGTTCTTTTCTTGCAGATGTTTTATTACAAACCAGGTAACATTATCAGTGCTGTTAGGGAATGGGGTTTGCTCTCATTTTATATACTAGAACAGGGGTAGGCAACCTTGGCTCTTTTATGACTCGTGGACTTCAACTCCCAGAATTCCTGAGCCAGCATGGCTCAGCTTGGAAACCTCTCCCTTTCCCCTCAGCATGGCTGCCTCAGGAATTCTGGGAGTTGAAGTCCACGAGTCATAAAAGAGCCAAGGTTGCCTACCCCTGTACTAGTTGCTTGCCCTGTCAGTGTTAGTGGGAGTGGTCTTCATGGTTCCTTGATTGGGCTGTTGTTTATTGTTAGTTTGTTTGTCTGAGTTAGTAGTTGGGGAGATTCAAGTATTGCTTACTACTTGATTGTTGGTTTAATGTTAATCTCTGCTCATCTGAATGCTGATTGCTGGTGAGGAGGTGTTTTCGCTTCCTTTTTGGCTGTTTGATTGCCTCTATTTTATTCTGGGCTAGTTTGATCGCATTTGGAATGTTATGTCCGCTTCTGGATAATCAACTTTAAATGGCCCACAGAGAAGCCAGGCAGATTCAGAGGCGAACCGAGATGACAAGGGATCTGGAAACTAAGCCCCATAAGGAGCAGTTAAAGAATCTGGGCATGTTTGGCTTGCAAGAGAAAATTTAGGGGAGATATTACAATGGTCAATTATAAATTATTATAATTATAAATAGAAATCTATAAATATCTAAACGGATGCCACATACAGCAGTGGGCCTATTTTTGCCAAAAGAAAGAGTGGGGCAAGGACCAATGAAACTGAATTAAAAAAGAAAGGAGATTCAGATGAATATTATGAGGAATTTCATGGTGTTAAGAATTGAAAAAAAAGATTTTCAAATAGGAGCTGGGGCCAGTTAGGGAGAGATGGTTGCTGGACTTCTGCTATGAAAGAGGTCACACTAAATGACCTACAAGTCTTTTCCAACGAACTCTGCAGCAATATATTAAAATAATTACACAGTATATAATTATTAAGTTAGGGAATCAATTTTAACAACCCTCCCCCAAGAACTGTTTTGACTGGCAGTTCCTGAACATTGCAAGACCATCGTACTGCTCACCAGAAGCGTTAGTTCGAATGTATATGATCTCGCTCTTTGCCCCATAGATTTTCTGCTCATCTGTATGAGTGACCAGTGTCTTCACAAAAATGGCATACTGAGTCCAGGCTTTCAGGCTCCGCATCAGATACCCAGGGTTTTTGGTTTTGGCCTCAGACCGGGAAGGAGGATCAATATCCACCACTGTCCAGCTGTTGGAGCTACAAACATCCTGGCCATCGAATTCCGTCACGTTCCGGAAGGGACTAGCCCAAAAAGGAAGGGAAAGGACACTAGCTGCTATTTCAGAAAAGCAATACATACACATAGGAAGAAATATGCTATTCATTTAGAATGGGGACAATGGATACAAATTCAAAATTATGGAGAGCAGAAAGAACTCTTCTAACCAGACTGGCGAATGATAGTGAGTGCTGGGTGTGTAGAGAATCATGTCAGCCTAAAATGGTCAAATAGCCCAAGCAAACAAAGAATGCCAATTTTGGTGTAGTACAGTGGTAAAGCCAAGCACTCAAGGGGAAGTGCATCAATACTACATGAAGCTATTTCCTCTAGTAACTTGATAGCCTCCACTGGGTTATAAACACAAGCAGAGGCCATAAAGTTTTTTTGCCTACTGAACATAACTGATGTTTTGACAGAGCTGCTGTTATTTATTTCTTTTAATGTGAAGCATTTTTAAAGTTAAGTATAAGAGTAGTAATTTGGAATAGACTAGAATAGAGCTGGAAGGACCTTGGAGGTCTTCTAGTCCAACCACCCGCTCAAGGAGGAGAACCTATATGATTTCAGACAAGTGACTGTCTAGTCTCTTCTTAAAAACCTCCAGTGATGGAGCGCCCACGATTTCTGGAGGCAAGCTGTTCCACTGGTTAATTGTCCTCACTGTTAGGAAGTTTCTCCTTAATTCCAGGTTGCTTCTCTCTTTGGTCAGTTTCCAACCATCATTTCTTGTCCTGACCTCTGGTGCTTTAGAGAATAGTCTGACCTCCTCTTCTCTGTGGCAGTCCCTAAAATATTGGAATATTACTATCATGTTGCCCGTTTCTTCTTTCTTTTAGACTAGCCAACCCCAAGTCCTGCACCCGTTCTTCATATGTTTTAGTCTCCAGGCTTTTGATCATTTTAGTTGCTTTTCTCTGAACTTTTTCCAAAGTCTCAACATCTTTTTTGTAGTATGACCCAGCTATGGTCTTACTAGGGTTTTATAAAGCGGTACTAATACTTTGCGTGATCTTGTTTATACAAACCCAGGATTGTATTAGCTTTTTTGACTGCTCCTGCATACTGCTGGCTCATATTCAAGTGATCGTCCACTAGGACTCCAAGGTCCCTCTCACAGTTACTGTTTTTGAGCCAGGTCTCGCCTAATCTGTACTTATACCTTTGATTTTTCCTGCCTAAATGTAAAATTTTGCTTTTCTCCACATTGAAACTCATTTTGTTGGATAGGGCCCATTGTTCAAGTTTGTCAAGATCTTTTGTCAAGCTTGTCTTGTGGGGTGTTGGCTATTCCTGCCAGTTTAGTGTCATCTGCAAATTTGATGAGTTCCTTATCTATTCCCTCATCTAAATCATTTATAAAGATATTGAAGAGTACTGGGCCTAAGACGGAGCCTTGTAGTACCCCACTGCTTACTTCTCTCCATATGGATGTAATGCCATTGAGGACTACTCATTGAGTATGGTTTGTCAGCCAGCTACAAATCAATCTAGTGGTGATGTTGTCTATCCCACCTTTTTCTAGCCAGGTTGTGGTCTACTTTGTCAAATGCCTTACTGAAATCTAAGTATACTATGTCCACAGCATTTCTACTAATTTAGTCACTTTATGATTAAAAATATTCAATGAAAGAAAGAAAGAAAGCTAGAGGCAACTCTGCTACTTTCTAGATTGCTGTCTATATGACCGTTAACCTTTCTCAGCCTTACTCTTCTGGCACTGCACAATGTAGGCGTCGATATCTGAGAACCTAATTTTAACAGGGATTGTTTACTCACGCTTCCTTATAGAACACCATGAAGCCCAAAAGGTCACGGAAGTCCAGTGGCCAGTATGGCTCCCATTTCAGTACAATTTTGTCACTGGATGTTTTTATCTTAGTAAACTTTAGCACTTCATTCTCACCTGCAGAGAATGACATCACATTTGTATCAGTAAGCATTTGTGCATATAAAAAAAAACAATGGTACGACCATACCAAATTGAGTATTTCATACTGTACCCAGAAAATCAAGTCCCGTACTCTTTGAGACCCAGAGAAGTGATGTTAGTTCAACAGGAAAGTAATGGTGAATTAGAAGAGAGAGTCAAGAGCATGGAATTTTCCTTCATATATTAATTTATATATGACCCATCTCACTGTTTGTACCCAACGATTTGTACTTGCCTATGTTGGGGGTTACTGTCAAATGAAACTGAAATATCATGGAAAACCAGGGCTTAAAGTCAGAGACCAAAGTAGGTGTTAATGAAAAAGCCATCATGGGAAATAGCTTATTTATTCATTGTATTTATTTATATCCTGCCTTTATTATTTTTATAAATAACGGCAAACATATCTAATACTCCTTCCTATTTTCCCCACAACAATAACCCAGCAAGGTAAGTTGGGCTGAGAGAATGTAACTGGACCAAAGTCACCCGCCAGCTTTTATGCCTAAGGCAGGAATAGAACTCATGTTCTCCTGGTTTTTAGCCTAGTGCCTTCAACCACTAGACTGAACTGGCTTGAATCAGAAGAACATGAAGAACACATTGGAGTATCAGAAATAAGGGACTGATTTTTTAAATCTGAAAATGGAGGTAGAGAGAGAGAAAGAGGGGGAAGTATGATCTTTGTTACCCTACCCCCATCCTCCCATGAATTAATACAACGCAAGCAGCTGTGGCCATAGAAATCAAGCCCCTCTGATCTATAGAGAGAAGACAGAGAGCATCTCACACACATATGTGCTATTGCTAAGGGAGGCTGTGGGGACAAATTGTCCTGTGCTCTGCCAGCCTGGCAGAAATTCATAAAAGAGGGCTGGATTTGCTTTGCAACTGAGTCAGAAAATACATAGCATACATAAACAGGATGTTACCAATTTGGAAGCGACATCTCTGAATGCAGAAACATTCCCAGAAGGAAACAAAGCCAAAACACAACAAATGTATGGTTCTGGACCAATGCCCACTTCCTCTCCTCATTGCTCTGAGATTAAAATAAAGCTTCAGCCACACTAGTGGGCAATTACTGACCCCAAACCAAAGTGAGAGTGGTAGCATGATTCCTAAAGTCACTGAGAGAAATATGCCTTTTTGCCTTTGCCTGACCCCTAAGTCTTAATGCAAAATAATAATTTTCTAATGAACAGCAAAAACTAGAGGCTGTGAAATAATAAACGTTACGTAAGATGTACATAAATGCACACAGATACACCAAAAGAGTATCTATGTGCATCCTAATCTGATTGGGCAGGAACACAGTCTAAACCCATTGGTGGATTCTTCATCTCCTGTGCTGGAGAAGATAATGTTCAGCCTCCGCTCATGCATAATAAAGAAAAGACATATCATTTTAGAATTATTCATTCCCTTGGATAGCAGCAATTCATCCTTACAAGAAGCCTGGTCACCGTTGGTCTTGACAGCAATGTCATTCTTCTCCTGGCGCCCTTTTGTTCCTGAGATCTCTTCCATCTTATGGATTTCTGACAGGCACAATTTGGGGTTGTAATAGAAGAACAGCTTCCCCCGGGCAATAGAGAGCTTGTGCTTGCTCCAGTCCCAAAGCTGGCGGAGATTTTGGTTGTCCAGGGCATAAAATGAATAATTTCTGGATAAGGAAGAGAAGGACATGAAGAAAACAAATGCCAAAAAAATGAAAGAGGAGACTGCCAAGCTGCCTCTTTTGTAATCAGCTCTCATTTCTAAATCCCCCTCAAAACTTCTTGATAGTAGGGACCAAAGAACAGGAGATCAACACCTACTATCACTTGTCCTACCCCGTGTCTTTAATAGCAGATTGACTTGCTTGTGATGTTTTGTAATAATGCAACAGTGGGGAAAGATACCATTGCTCTCAATGGTATTTTCAGGGGTTCAAGATATCCCTGAAGAACTGAACTCACCCTACTTCCAAAGTCTGTCCTCTGATCAGGTGCAGCTTGCGGAAAAAAGAGAGAGAGACCAGGGCATAGGAGCGACGGATTTTCAAATAACCTGAGATTTCTTCAATCAAACCAAGGTTGGCTTCCAACTCAGCAGCAATGTTAGCTAAAGGAAGATGAAACATCAGCCATTCAAGCCACAAAATTATGAACAAAGAACAGCTTCTTATTTATACTGGGCCCTAACCTAAGCGAAGCACCCAAAGTCACCATTACAACCACCAAAGATGACCATCAGCAAGTAGCTTCCATGGCCCAAAACAGAGACATATGACATGACCAAAGGCAACCATGGTCTTTCCCAGGCATTGCTCCTTTGTCCTTTACTAGTGTGTTTGTTTATCTTATTAGGCCCGGGTTGGACTACCCATGATAGGAGTGCAGAATAGGATCTGCAACGGTGTGTGTGTGTGTGTGTGTGTGTTAAGAGATGAAATAGATTCCTTATGTTTTTGCAAGATTTAAATCTGCCAGTTTCCTCTTTAACTTACCCTCAAAAAGAGATGTCAGCAGGCCACATTTAGCCCTTAGGCCACACTTTTACACCCCTGAACTTTGTAAATTTGCATTATTGAAAATAGACTGGCAAAATTGTGGCTTTCTGATGGATTAAAATTTTGGAATATCCTCCAAGTCTAACTTAAGATACTCCACCGTCCCGTCCCCCCCCCCAAACTAAAAAAAAAAAGTTGCAAATTTTAGTCCCTGCTCATCACTGCCATGTACTGTATGTGGACAAGGCAGGGTTGCTGGACAGAAAAAAAAATGTTTACACTTTCTCTTGATTGGTACAAGGTAAAACCAGATGTAGACACTCACTTCCTCCACGAATGTTGATAACCAAACTTCCATTCACAATGGTGCAGCCTCGGAGCGCCTGTGCAGCAGTAACCGAATCAATTATCTTTTCTTCACCCACATCACACGTTTTTGGACAAAGACCCGCACAGGGTGTGCAGAGCAAGCTGAAAAAGAAAATACCAGAGGGGATCACTCAAGCTGTCGAACGCTTAATATAATGGATAATGGCACAATAAAATACTAACTTTTCCAATCTAGGAAAGGGTTCTAGAGTTCATAGCCACTATTACAAGAACCTACAATCTGCAAACAGGTGATGCCTTAATAATTAGCTAATCTCTTCAGACCATTTTTTTCCAGGATGAAGAATTTGACAATATAGCTATTATCCTGTCCCCGTGGTTACGTTGGTTTGTTATCTTCCTGGTTTCCTAATAATTCAAATTTCAAACATGATTTTTGCACTGGATTCAATCATCTGGTAGGATTTTTTTTTTAAAAAAAAATCTATCATGGTGAAATAGGCAGGCAGATAACACAGTTGGTATATTGCCAGCAAAATGCTATCATACTAGGATAGATTTACTTGCAGAAAAGCAAAACTGCCACCAGGCTCAAAACCCCATATTAGTTTAAAGTCCTTGGAATGAAATGAACTGAAAAATATTACAATTAATACTAATATTCAGAAAAATATCTGATTTACTATTTGTTTATTTTATAGGCTACACAATCTTCATACAACTCTGAGCAGTTTAAAATTAAGAATCAAAATAGAAATAAAATAGAAATAGAAACAAGCTCTCCTGTGATAAACAATTGAATTGCCAATTATCTATTTTTTTTATTGAGAATGCTCCAAATTGTCCATTTCCTCTTCCCTGTGGTTACGTTGCTCTTCATTTTTTTCCCTCTTTACAACGTAAGAAGAACTAATGCCGTGGTGGCGAACCTATGGCACGCGTGCCACAGGTGGCACGCAGAGCCCTCTCTGTGGGCACGCGCGCTGTCACCCCAGTCCTAGGCCTTCAGCTGGGTTTTATAAAACCTTTTCGCTTTAGGCCTCCACCACCGTGTGCCCCAAAAAAAAAAAGATTCAATCAATCAATCAATTTCAACTTCTCGCGGGGGAAAAAAAAGATCTCGCAAAGTTGGAATTGATTGATTGAACCTTTTAGTCCCATCCAGTCTGCCGTTACCACTGCAGCCACGCCCACCCAACAGGCCACACCCACCCAACGAGCCACACCCACCCGGCACCCGACGATACATAAGTGGGTTTTGAGTTCCAGTTTGGGCACTCGGTCTCTAAAAGGTTCGCCAACATTGAACTAATCAATCAGAAAATCCATTCTCCATCTCCGTGCTGAGAAAAGGCGTTCAGGCAAGACAACGCCCCGTCTCTTTACAAAATTTATGATGAGCTGGAAGGAGGCAAATTCCAACTACGTGGAAAACCAAGGAATGTTTTCCACGTATTTGGAAGACAGCACAAATATGAGCATATATATGTGCATATATACTTAGCATTTCATCCAATTCCATAAACTACAGAAGTACTAAGTTGCTTTTAAATAATATATGCATACATTAAACAGATTTCCAATCAATACTGTCTAATCTAAAATGACTAGGATAGTGTGCAGAATATATTTGAGTTATACTTAGAGAATAAGTATTCATGATTTAGCTTTACTCTTGACTTTAATGTTACTGGGAGAAAAAAGAGCATTTCTATTCTTATTGGGAACTATGACAGCACTACAAATCTGAAAATTTCCCAATATTTTGGATTGCACGTTTCTTTGTTATTTCTTGGCACAAAATGCTATTTCCCCCCCCTTCTTTATTTCTCATTTGTAATTTATTTGCTACTAATCCTGATATACCTCTCAAAACCCAGCTATCTCTACACAGCAATAAGAAGAGAAGATAAAAAAGAAGAACTCACTTGGTAGAGTTCAAGATGTAACCGGAAGGGCAATCAGAGACGCATTCGCCATTGTGGATAACAGGGCATTCAGACTTGCGGGCCATCTTACATTTATTGTGCAGCTCCTGACAGAAGTCAAAAGTCACACACCGCCAGCCTTTGTAGCGATAGTAATTAGGTGGACATGTTTCTATACACTTGCCATCCAAAAAGAAATTCCGGCACGCCACACACTTCCGTGGATTGTTGGGCTCAAGGCAGTTGCCAAGGCACTCTGTATGGCAGCACTTGCCGGTTGGGGTACAGCCCTGAGACTTGCATGTGGGAGGACACACTGGAGAAGAGAAACAAAGAGAGATGATTACTAGGCATTTTTAGAAGGAGATGCTCCTCACCTCAAAGAAAACTGCCTTTATTGCTTCATCAAAGTATACCAGACACACGAGTGTTCCTCCACAAATGAGTACTTTATGACTATTTACCAGAATGTCAATTGCCACTCCCACAATCCAGCAGATTGATTTTATTACTTCTGCTTACCTTTACCCTTTTTCTAAACAGTAAAGTGCATTTCCAGTGAACACAGTGGGCTGCATCACTTGCCATTTTTATTTTCTAAGAAAGCTTAGGAATCCTAGCTAAAGACAAGAGGCATTCTTTAAATCATGATGATACAAAAGGCTGATTCTTTACAGCAAGGTGGATTCCTATTTTTCAAATAGCAATAGCACTTAGACCAGACCAGACTAGAATAACAGAACTGGAAAGGACCTTGTAGGTCATCTAGTCCAGAGGTCCCCAACCTTTTGGGCACCAGGGACCGGTTCCGTGGAGAGAGGTTTTTCCACGGACCGGAAGGGTGCATGGTTTTGTGTGTTGTCTGCATCCTGCAGATGGGGCTTTGCTTGTTTGTGCAGCCTGGCTGCTGGCATGCCACGGCCCAGTACTGGTCCCTGATCTAGTCCAATCCCCAGCCCAAGCAGGAGTCTCTACACCATTTCTGTCAGATGGCAGTCCAGTCTCTTCTTGAAAGCCTCCAGTGATGAAGCACCAACAACTTCTGAAGACAGTCTGTTCCATTGGTTGATTGTTCTCACTTCTCAGTGCTTTACAGCCCCCTCTAAGTGGTTTACAGAGTCAGCACATTGCCCCCAACAATCTGGGTCCTCATTTTACCGACCTCGGATGGATGGAAGGATGGATCTACCTTGAGCCGGTGAGACTCAAACTGCCAAACTGCTGGCAGATAGCAGTCAGCAGAATTAGCCTGCAGTACTGCACTCTAACTACTGCGCCACCATGGCTGTAAGCATAATAAACATATTTAAAAAATTATATTTTAAAAATATAAAAAGTCAAGTCGACATGATATTTGGCAAGCAGCAAAAGAGGTATCCTTGGGCATATTGATGCCATGGGACCATGTGGTAGATCCCAAGATCCCAAGTCTAAACATCTAGTTTTATTTAAAGTTTTGCAATGTGGCATCTTATTGTCACAAGACCAAATTCCATTTGTTTCAATTCAGTCCAAATACAAACATGAACATTTAATTTTTGACCCCACACCATTCACCATCCATTCTTAATTTATAATTTTTTTGTTTCTCCCAAAAAATCTACCTTCATTCCACCAGCCCCTTCCCATAGAACCTCCTTCTTTTGATGCATGTTATACTTTTATTATGAGTCCACTCAAATACACTAATATCAGTTTTGGAACCTGCCTTTTAGTATCTAGACTGGCACGACCTTAATTTTGTTTACTCAAGTTTAATTCTTTCAGCACAGAAAAGCTGGTGATACAGGTATGGAGGGGGTGGAATGGTAATGTACATAGTTTAATGTACTTGTTTCTTAGAGAAATGGTATGCCTCCCTTCTGTTTACCCATTTTTTTATAATCAACATATTACTGTGGGAAGTCAGCTCCCCAGAGAAGGAAATATTAAAAGGGCAGAAAAATATATTTCCTCAAAAGGATTTTAAAAAGCAGAAACCAACCCTGCCCCCAAGTCTCTCTCTCCGAAGCAGAAGCCAACCCTATACAAATGCAGATGTAAACCATCAGAAAGGCCCCAGCTAGGAGATCAAGAAGACAAAGATACCTAAAATCTGCATACCCCTCCTGAGATGGGACATAATAGGACTAACCCATCACCATCAAGAATACCAGAGAGGCACACCTAGACTCAGGTCAGAATACGTGACACAGGAAATAGCCTCAAAGTTCATGCCACAGGAACAGGAAACTATTCCAAACAAAAGGCTAGAGAGGGTATAAAAACCTACTACCCATGTGCTCAGCCCTTCTTTTCTTGGTCTTTCCTGCAAGAACCATCTTTCTGGCTCTTCAATAAACTGCAACCTTCTTTCTAAAGCAGTCGCCATGTTGTTTATTTATCCCCGGCTTGGATGAACCAGGATGAAGACTTTTCCTTCAACATTACTAAGGAGGACATCAGAACAAACCCAAGTAGAACTGTAGACTTCAGAGGAAGGACAGAATCAGTTCATAGAAAAGCTGGTGTCTGCCTCTTTGCTAAATGGCTATGGAGCCGCCTCCCCACCATGCTAGAAAGGAATCACATGCTGCTCAGCTCTCTATGCCAGTTCATTGTCAGAAGGCTCTACTGCAGGGGTCCCCAACCTATGGTCCACGGCCCAGGAGCG